TTCAAGCCTCGAGTTGCAATATTGAAAGATTCTATGGGCAAAATACTGAATTATGCAGGAAGCATCAAAGGAAGATGAAAGGAATACACAGAGTCACTGTACAAAAAACAATTGGTCAATGATCAGGTAGACTGTGACATACAATCAAGAACCAACGGTATTGAAGGAAGGAGTTGAAGCTGCACTGAAGGAATTGGCCAAAAAAAAAAAAAAAAAAAAAGATTCCAGGAATTAGGGGAATACCCACTGAGATGTTTCAACAAATAAATGCAGCACTGGAACACTTACTAGTCTATATCAAGTAATCTGAAAGTCAGCTACCTGGCCAACTGACTGGAAGAGATTGATTTTTTTTTTTTTTTTTTGTGCCCATTCCAAAGAATGGTGATCCCACAGAATACGGAAATTATTGAACAATATCATTAATATCACATGCAAATGAAATCCTGCTGAAGATAATTCAGAAATGGTTGTAGCAGTATATAGACAGGGAACTTACAGAAATTCAAGCTGGATTCAGAAGAGGACATGCAACATATCATTGTTGATGTCAGATGGATCTTGGCTGAAAGCAAAGAATACCAGATAGATGTTTACTTGTGTTTTGTTGATTATACAAAGGCATTTGACTATGTGGATCATAACAAATTATGGATAACATTGATGTTCTGGTTATCTAGTGCTGTTCTGACAGGAATCTACCTCAAATGGGATGCTTGAACAAACAGGAGTTTACTCTCTTACAGTTTGGTGGCTTTAAGTCCAAATTCAAAGTGCTAGGCTCTAGGGTCTGGGTGAAAACTCCTCAAACTTGGGCTTCAATTCTCCCTCCTACTTCCAGCCCACTGGCACTAGAGGCTTTTCTTCACTCAGATAGCTGCTGTCTGTTAAGACTGACAAGCCCAAGGTTGACAAGTAAAAAGGCATAGTCTCGATGTTACCAAACCACGTGGCAGGCCATTAATTCAAGTCCACTGAAAATCCCAAGGTTAGTAGAGCATGGCAGGCTGCTGAATAACGATGCAGCTACATGCAGGATTCAAGCTCGCCATAAGTTAGAGACCATTCCCCAAGGCTTCTCCTTATATACAGGAAGCAGATCACATCCCTAAGGCATCTACTCAGCTGCTCAGAGTAGATTCCACCATGGAGTTGATTACCAGTCTCATCATGGGGAATACTACATCCAGCTGCCCAGCCAGTCAACCAGGCCCACCCAAGTTGACACATAGACTTAACCACCACAATTGAGAAGAATGGGAATCCCAGTACAGTTAATTGTTCTCATGAGGAACCTGTACATAGACCAGGAGGCTGTTGTTTGAATAGAACAAGGGGATACTGCATAGTTTAAAATCAGGAAGGGAGTGTGTCAGGGGTGTATCCTTTTACCATACTTATTCAATTTGTATGCTGAGCAAATAATCTGAGAAGCTGGACTATATGAAGAAGAACATGGCATCAGGATTGGGGGAAAACTCATTAACAACCTGCAATATGCAGATGACACAACCTTGCTTGCTGAAAGTGAGGATGACTTGAAGCACTTACTAATGAAGATTAAAGATTACAGTTTTCAGTATGGATTACA